TGGTGATACTATCACCGTGATAGGTATTCATATCATCAGGTGGCCCCAGAGTCAATCTACTGTTTCGGGGCCCTGGTGGGCCGCCAGGAATTGGCTACTGCCAGTTGCCAGAATCAGCTTAGCGATGCCACTGAGTCAAACAGACTGTTTGAAACAGCGCGGGTGTCACTGCTGGCAGTAGAGCCAGCGCGTGAATTCGCACTTGTACAGCGAATTATTGATGTGTCTCTCGTTAATGCCCTCTTCCAGCTACGCTACGCCCCTCTCTTGCCTAATGTCAAGATCACGTGTGGATTGAGGAGAGTTTTCCCCGCATAGATCAACGAGGATCGCCCTTTGCGGAAGATGCTCTGCGTCACGAAGATTTTCTGCGTCACGAAGATTTTCTGCGTCACGTGATGATCGCTCAACTTCGGGATGCTATGAACGTGCTTACATAGAATGGACAGTTAGTAGTTCATCAACGCATCGGACAACTTGTTTCAGTTTTTTCAACTCTTTTCTCAATTTTATGCTCATCGCCTTTTTTCAATGTGCTCTATTGTCTTTCCTTGGGGCTTCAGCCTTCACAATGGAAAACGTACGGATGCAGACTAAGGTTACCCATTATTGTAATCTCGATTTGCTCAACGAGTACGGCAAGCCGGTGCAATGCCATATATCTAATGGTATGGAGACCATGGGACTGGTACTGCCTGGCATGGACGATGGAAAGTCCCTAACCACCCTCCACGACGTTTTCATTGTCAAAGACGGCCAGGTAACGGTTCAAGCTTCGCCGAGTCGTCCTTATCAGTACCTTCTCACAAGTGAGACTGACGCTCACTCCCAGACCCTCCAGCTTTTCAATAAGAAGTCTTTCCTCGTTCACCACGCAGGCAAGACACATGGTGCTCCGTCTGCTAATCGCAGGCTCGATGTCGGTCATACTCTCGAGAAGGATGGATGGGCTCATCACGGCCTCGTGGAGGTAGATGGTCAGAAGGTGAATAAGTGGGTTAGGAGTGGAGCCGGGGGTGTTGACTCCAAAACTCATGCAAATTTCACCGCTCTCGCCCAAACTGGTTTGGTGCCCAACTCTTGGACTCTCTACACCGACGAGGCCGATGAGAAGATGGTCAAACTGCTGGCCACGAATACGTTCGAGAACAACAAAGTGTACCAGGTGACCGAAGTGACCCACTGGGAGAAGCTGGACGAGGCAAAGACGGTAGATGATACGCTGAAGCAAGTTTACTCAACATACGACATTGCTGACCACTCCACGGCGCCTCCCACTGAGGATGAGGCGCCATTGTTGGAAGCACGCTTCATCAAGACTCATCTGATCAGCGAATCTGCCCGCATCTTCTTTAACGACGGTGAGCATCCTGATTGGAGGCCATCGACAAGGCGCCTCCGTGGCAAGCAAGCGACCCCTTCTATTGACTACTTCACCATAGTTGAAGGTACTGCCTCGCATAAGTACTTCCTGGAGCAATATCAGCGTCAACTCCTGGATCTGCCCAAGTTCGTATTCCCAAAGGGTTGCACTATTGGCATGTCCACCGACGGTGTTCCATACTGTCTCAATGTTGGTGTCTCGGCAAATACGACAGCACTCTCTCTCAATTTCGGTATGATCTTCGTTGACGTGAACAATAAGGACTATCAAGCAAGCCTCAAGATATCCATCACTATGAAGTGGCCACAAGCTGATGTTGTTTTGGGCCTTTCGTTCGAGGGTAGCGGATGCGCCGTTGTCTTCCAGAAGGGTGTATCTTTCGCAAGGCTATACATCCAAGTGTGCATCACTGCTAGTGGCTCCGGCAAGAATCTGCTGCAGCCCGACAACCGCACTTTCGCGGGCAAAGCCTCGGTTTCGGTCTCTTTCAATATTGATGTCTCAGTTGTTACCACATTGAAGGCGACTTTAACCAGTGAAGTTGATGTCCAAGTAGCTCCACACAGTGATATAAAGGCCCACGGCTCTCTGGGCCTCGACCTGAGCCTCGTGGTTGTCGGTGCCGGTGTGTCTGTCGACATCTTCGGAAACACTGTGAAGAACCATGCTAATGTCTGGGATTTCCAGTCCCATGTGAACCTCCACGTTTGGGTGAACATTTGGGTCTACAAGCATACCTGGCCATGGACTTGGACTATTTGGAAAGCTGGTCCAGTCACTTTCTAATTGTAGTGGTACTGAATCAGTGCTATTCGCTCATCGAGACAATTGTACATCTCCCAAGGGCGATGTCTACTATTGCGAAATTCTTGATCATAGAGTTCTAGGAACTAGATTTGCCATGTTTTCCAGTTGTACTCGTCATTGTCATTTGTGTAGTGCTTTTTGTTGCACGAAAGTACAACTCGAATCCCCAACACGGCCACTACTTTGAATAGGATTTGTGTTATTGAAGGACTATTGTGCGAGCTAAGCTATGAGGTTTCTAGCGGTAGTTCAAATTTATTCTGGTGATGAATCTACAGTTTCTTCTAATGTCAACGTTAGCAGAGAGAATCGACGCGGCTACGGTACCTGTGGAAGAGTTGCGCATTAAGGCCAAAGTGGACGATGATTTATGGCAAGGGTTGGTGGCGACACTGACGAAGGACAATGGTGGGTATAGAAAGTTTGTATTGGTGCCATCGATGATCGACCCTCCTCTCCTTCCATCTGTACAAGCGACGATGTAGCAGAGCTTATATCGCCAGCATCCATCATGTCAGGCTCGATCAAACGCAGCCGAACGGCTACTAATGGCTTCTGATGTTCACGTCGAGATCTTCTTCGTAAGAACGATTTGGGTTGGTCTGAGAGAGCATGAATGAAGTTGATATCCCAACACTACGCGATCATCACTTTCCTGAATCACCTGCGGCTTGGTTCAGGCATCTGGGGCCGTATGCGGATACTGATTCATGAATCTGAGTCCATGATTCAACTCACGCTCTGATCCTGATTCATGATTCAAGTCACACCTTGATTCGAGAGAACTGATTCAGATTCTTCGCTCAGGAGAAAAAGTCGAGATTTGTGAGTATGAGTACTTGAGACAGAGTCAGATTACGTAATCATGAGCAAGATCCTTGATCCTTGATTTTAATCAGCTGTTGAATCCGATTCCTGATCCTTAATCACGATTCAAGATTCAAATCTATACTCAAAGGCTGATTCAGAGTTTTTGACACTGAGTCAGAGTATTTCTTCAATTCGAGATTAAATACTCAGAGTTGGGAGTTTTACTCATGATTCGAGATTAATTCTCAGGAGTCGAGATTCTTTTACTCAACCTCAAAGCTGCTCAGATTCAAGATCGCAATCTCACCTTGAGCATGATCCGAGATCATACTCATGATGCACAAGCTCACAGTTTAACATGGGGATTAACTTTGATTCTGTACCGGGGGTCCGGACCCCCGGTACCAAACCCTGATTCTGATTCTCGACCTTGATTCACGACTTCAGCGCGCGCCACGGTAGACCTTCTCAACTCCTCGCGAGTAGGTTCTCAGAATGACAGTACCGGAGGATAGAACCTCGGCTTCGACCAAGTGAAAGCATATCCTTAACCAGTTGAGCTATGAGATTATACGATATAACACGGAGCAAGGAGGTATAGCGCGAGTAGTACATACGCACGAGTATCAATATGACCCTGCCCGGGAATAGAACCCCGGATTCTAGCATGTGTAAGTATTAACTTAACCAGTTCAGCTATGAGATCATACGGTATAGAATGGTGTATGGAGGTATAGCGCATGTAATACATGCAACCACACGGTGTGAACTACGCATTCCTTAATTCAATTACTTGTTCATAAAAACAATAAATGCCCTCCGTCGATCCTCTTGAGGGATTGTCCGGTAACGACACCCGATCACGCTACCGGTTCTCCAAGGAAGCTCTACAAGCTCTAGAAGGAAGCTCTAGCGCTGAGCTTCCTCTTAGAACTTCTGAGTTAGAAACCCAGAGTTAGTTGATTCCGAGTGAACATATTGAAAAGTTTGAAGTACGGATGTGTGCAAGTGCGACAAAAGATCTTCTTCCAAAAATTTATCATTGTTGTAGTGTAACGGGAGATGTGCATGCCTTCGGGGCAAATCTGCCAGGTTCTACCCACGTAGAGTGACGTTTTCTTCCTTCCTTGAAATTGTAACTTTCGGTTCCGGGGCGTACCGACTATAATCTTCTTCTTGTCAAAAATGTCTGATTCAAACTCTGATTCCCTGATTCTGGAGAATACTCAGATTCAATGGAATCACCCGAAAAATCAGCCTCATGAGCAAGTCATATTGAGTAAGGGTATTAATCAGCCAAAAAATTAACTTTAGATTCTCGAATCAGCTCAGAGATCCACATATCCTGGCGATGATCCTGATTTTTCGCTCCAGAGTAAAAAATCAGCGAATCATGGGGTATTACTCACCATCCGATTTTTTCATCTGAGTAAATACTCTGACTCACTTGTTGCATCAGGATCCGCATACGGCCCCCGCACTCCACAAGCTTCGTGTAGGGTAATACACAAGTTATCATACGCAATGAACTAGCACCAAAAACAACAGAAGCTTGCAATATTGCATGTCTGCTTTACGCTATACGCCTTCCACGTGCTCCCGTCCTGCAAGCTAGCCATGTGGGCCACATGCTGTGGCTTGTCTTCCACAGCGTGTCTTTGCTAAGGCCTGTAGTCATTAATATATGATACCGAATAGATCAATATCCGATCTATCATTGAACACTCACGCCAACAAGGTTATTGCAAGCTGGGCTTCCCACCGAATGGGTGCCGGCCGGAATACTAACAGAAGTATTACACGACTGGTGACCACTAGACTCGCCTCGACTGAAACTGCAGATCTCTCTGAGTTCTTCGCGTTTGGACGCGCACTTAAAGTTGATTCCATTTCAATTTCGCGTTGCTTCATCTGTTGGCTCTCAACTCACTCACTATCAGTAACACAACATTCAATACAATACAGAAGAGTTATTGGAACAGGCAGTAGTTTGTACACGTTAGCCGATACTATCGGCTAGCTCTGCCGTTAGACCTGCTAGCCAGGCCTTCGTTCTCGGAGCAGGGCAAGACTCATCAGACAAGCTCGTCGATACTTCTTCGATACGGACAACTTCTATCCAATCTGAAACAACTTCGCTCAGCTGAAGAGGTGTTGGGAAATATGTTCGCTCTCATCAGCCGAGCTCGAGAGTTCTCTGGCTCGGGAGTTTACACATGAATTCGAGCAGAAATATACAGCACCCAAATAGGAATTTACTACAGTTCTCTTCAGAATTTCTATATTCTCCACAACACACGTGTAGTTGACTATGTGCATGTTCTTCCGCACTGAGCCGCGTCTTAGCGATGAGAACTCGAACCACAGAAAGAGGGAATATGACTCACCTTCAGTGCCGTGACGATAACGATAAATAACCCGCATCGGCTCTCGGCCTTCGCACCCGATGTCAACGGCATAGACGGGATTCTTGTGCTTCCTCCGTGAGTGAATCGAGCGTGGGTCCTCTTCCAGTGTGCTCACGATAATTCCCTTCATTTCACTGGGCCAGTGGTTGACTTCACGACATGCCTCGGTAGAAAACATCACGTTCATCGCTTTACGGACAGATTCCGTTACGTATCGTGGCATGCATATAGGCCCTCGAGGCTGATACCGCTCCTTCGTGAACTTCCGCAATGACAACACTGGCGTGCCCAGAATCATGTCGCTCTCGTGGAGTTCAATGCGAGCATCAGTCACCTCAGCGACTCGACATATTGACATTCCCATGCTAGTCGGCCGATAGGGTGATCTACATGCAAACACTCCAACCTTCACTCCGTTGTTCTTCGGTGGTCGAACCTTCGCTTTTAAATGGTTGTGACTTTTCTCATTCAAATGACAAGCCCACAAAACAATACAGAAATCCTCAACAGTTAGTTCGCCAGGAATGTCATAGCCGTCGCGCATCTGGATGCATATCGTTGAGCCCTTAGCAAAGCCTCCCTGCCGAGGAGTTCCCCATTTGTGTTGATACGTACTTTCTACGACATCACCAATAACAGGCAAGTCCACGTGTTCGTCCAAAACCCCGCCAGTCTCCTTCTCTCGAAAGGCCGAATTGGTGGTGTCCTCGAAAGTGATGTAGCCGTTCTCGTGCTTCTCACACGAAATGCCCTCGATAGCCCAAGCGTCAGCCACAGCACTTGCGAGTTCGTCCAGAGATGGTATAGAAGACAGATAATCGTCACGTGCCACTAAATTCCGGTAACGTAGGAGTGCTGGTGAGAAATACCGATTAGCCTCAGCCGGAGAGCGATTACGAGAAACAAGTGGTTTGAAACCGCTGGATGGCAAGCCTCGATCGGCAGCGACCAGCTTAACACACCGTGAGAGCTCAGACCTGATAGTTTCGATGGTAGGGTCGGCCATTGGAGAAAAGATGCAATAACCGCGGATCGACCCCGCGATCTATAGATGCTTAAACTACACATAATGCCACTACACCACATTTCCTCTAGGAACTACAACTGGCAAACTATTATCGGTGATGGAAACCTTTCTCAACTCGTTCGTAATGCATGCTCTGCACAATATAAGTAAACTTGTTACGGTGCCAACGACTGTAACACTAGTCAGCACGTCAGAATTTAGCGGTTCTTCTGAGAGCGAGAATGACGACTTTAGGAAAAGTATCAACTCTCTCTTCCACAGATCTAGCTAGCAGGGGTAAACGAGCCTGCCAACTTTTCTACCTCACTATGAGCCGACAGACTCAGACCAAGGAATTCAATATCTGGAAGCAATACCACATTCCCTACACTTTCTACCATAGACTACCCCACCTCTAGAGATACACCGCGTCTTCCGACACCAGTCCCTTATCCAAATACTTCCTCCTATACACTGGCGGTCCATACCGAGTCGCAACCGCACTCTCCGCAACACGCCCGAGACCAACGGGTAAACATCATAGATCGTCTCATAGTCAACCCCTGCGACGCCGTCATCATTGTCACTCGAGGCTCACTCTCCGATCCGTCCCGGCCGACACTATTTTCAGCCCATGTCGAGATTGACTGATCGTAACAACCGATCAACCGATGAAATTTTCTCGGCTTTATCTCTTGGCTCTTCGACCACTATAGACCACCACCATCAGAACTATCAAATTACTCCTCTAGATGCTGTGTGAAATCGTTCGTTGGATTCACTCTGCTTTTTCAATCGGCGCTTGGAAACCGCTTTCACCCCCAGGAGCCTTTGCACCAGCCTGATGCCCATCGTGGAGCGCTCAACCTGCTGAAGCGTCTCCACCATAAAACCTATGCGGTTTCAGACGCTCTTCTCACTCGCCGAGATTCACAATACCTATATGCGAGCATCCTTACAAAATTCAATGTAGCCATAATAATCCCGATGAAAAGTTCAAAAATGCCATGTTCCATGACTAGTCACAACAGCTATTCGTAATTGATACCGCCTTTTCCCACCGGATGACAATCTTGATTGGACTGGACATAATATCATAAGAAGTCCAAAATCCATCCACCACTCCCTAGAAAGTACCTCTTTCCACCCATCGGGCAACAATAGCCCTTGAGAGTGTTATGATACTCTTCGAATGCATCGCAAGGTATGCTAATCACCGCAATAGTCGTACCTAAGTGTTCGTTAGGTAAATACGGACAAGCAGAGCTAGTAGTGTTGCTAACAAATTCTTGTTAGTTTTTGTATCATAATACGTGGATAACTTTCTATAATGCAGCTTTGGAAGCTTCTGAGCTCTGCCGAGGAGACCAAATATATATTCCAACACCAGTCGAGTACTGGCTAGGGGTTATACTTCGTCTTGATCTAGTCTCATATGATCCGGCGAAAACCAGCAGTAAGTCGAAAGTAAGCCATTCCATCAGCAGTAAGCGACTCCATCAGAACTTTTGAGAGATTATTCTCTCCACCAGGTGGTTATGAATCAAAATTATAGAAATTTACACAGTCCACTCTAAAATTGCTATTCCCACGACTGTCCAGTGCTGTGGTTGACTAGATGATTGTTGCTATTTGTCTTCAGCCTTCTGGGCGTGCGCTGACAAGAAGAGTATCTTAGCGTTTTAGTTATTGTGCCTTCCTCTATTCAAAAACGGTGCGAAGGTTGAAGAAACTTCTACATAAACCATCATGTACGCAAATGGCTACTACGCCTAGCGCTAACTCCAGTGGGATGGGAGGCGGCGCCAAGAGTCCGCAATGACAAAAAGAAACTCGATAGATCTCCAGTATATTTCTAATATCGTATTGTAAGGTGAGTGTGCATCCATTGAATTTTAGATGGACTCCTACGATTTTACGCATTTCGGACTTCATGAGTGAGGAGATTATCGCTTAATTCATTCGTAAAACTCCCCCCAATCGTACCGCCATCCATTAGACGCTGATTCTCCTGATCATGCTAAGCTTCCTCTCATGGTGTTCGTCCTCGACGACTTCCCGTTCGTAATAGTTACTAAACCCATCTCTGTTACATGTTTAATACACAAGGGATTAGCTCATCGTTTTTACTCGTGTTAAAACGCCCGAGCGATACTCTTGCAGCGCATTTTTCAATCGTTCGATTATCTCATTTCACCTCTTTTCGAGGGCAGATATGCCAGTCCGGGATAGATGTTTTTAGCCTCAATAGTGGCTCTATATTCGCCAAAGTTTCTTCTGTGGCATATCTGCCCCAATCGGGATCTGCCTCGTTCAAAGTTTAATTACACTTGCTGTCGGCATTAGGGTAACTTCACAATTCAACGTATTGATCGTCTCCTCCTTGGAGACTTATCTCGGGTTGGCATAGCCCGGTTATGATAGCCGCCCCGTGCAGAGGAATTGAATACACTCAGAACTATCTTGGGGTGGCACAGTCGCCCCGCTCAGAGAATTGACTACACAAAGGAATATCTCCGTGCGGAATAGCCGCCCCGTTTAGACAAATTGATTTCATTACGGAATATCTCGGGATGGCATAGCTGCCCCGTTGAGGGGAATTGATTAAACTGGGGTATATATTGTGTTGGCATAGCCGCCCCACTCGAATAAATTGACCATACTGAGGAATATCTCGGGATGGCATAGCTGCCCCGTTCAGGGGAATTGATTAAACTAGGGTATATATTGTGTTGGCGAGATATTGTTTACACTAGGGTATATATTGTGTTGGCATAGCCGCCCCGCTCGAATAAATTGATCATACTGAGGAATATCTCGGGATGGCATAGCTGCCCCGTTCAGGGGAATTGATTAGACTAGGGTATATATTGTGTTGGTGAGATATTGCTTACACTAGGGTATATATTGTGTTGGCGAGAAGTTGTTTACACTAGGGTATATATTGTGTTGGCATAGCCGCCCCACTCGAATAAATTGATCATACTGAGGAATATCTCGGGGTGGCATAGCTGCCCCGTTCAGGGGAATTGATTAGACTAGGGTATATATTGTGTTGGTGAGATATTGCTTACACTAGGGTATATATTGTGTTGGCATAGCCGCCCCGCTCGAATAAATTGATCACACTGAGGAATATTTCAGGGTGGCATAGCTGCCCCGTTCAGGGGAATTGATTGGACTTGAGAATATCTTGGGTTGGCATGGTCGCATGAATCGGTCCTCATCAGGGAGGAAAATTGAGTGCTCATGATCAGGAATGCCTCTGGTTTCGAGTGTTCTATGACCGGCCCATCACCCATACCTTCAGCTGTCGAACCCTCAGCTGTTTCCTGGCACCCCAGACAATTGGTTATAGCTCGCCTCCAACGCGTAAACTCCTTCTTCGGTGATACTGGTCCTTCGCTCCCTCGAGAAGTCTGGGATTTCCTGCCGAAAGTCGTCCCCGACTTTTGCAAGCTGATAAGCGACACGAGGCCTCATGTGTTCAGGATGAAGCCAATACCCTCATTCGGTACAGAGGACGGCGTATATCTCTACCGCAAGCGCAGAACTGAGTGGGGGAATAGATATTTCGAGGTCAAGTTTCTCAGTTCTCCGAGGCGTCAAGAAGCTGTCACGCGTGAGATGTTCGCATTTGTTCGAGCTCTCGGAGAATCTCTCGGTAATGGTGCTTCGCGACAACAACAGCACGGCGTGGGAGGAGGTTCAACAACCGAGGAAGCAGAGGGGGGCGAAGGTGATGAAGGAGAGGTTTCGGATGAAGGCAGCTATCTAAGCGAAAGCGAGGACTTCGACGACAGTTGGGATAGTTCCGACTCAGAATACTCGTGGGGGCGTTCCACTGAGTCTCGTGAGCGCCATCCTGAGTTCATAGAGACCATATGTTGCTGTGAAGGGTCTTATAACCTTGGTATTGTCGTGGGCCGTAATGACTTTTATTTTACTGTAGATGAGGATAAGTGTCACTTGCATTACAGGAAGCTGTCTGGTGGTGTGTTTGTTGACAGAAGTCTAGAGTTACCTGAAACGATAGAGGAGCTATCTTACGCTGATGGCCACATATTCGTCGTGGGAAAATCACGACGTCTGTATATGCTAAAGAGTGATAGATCTGGTTGGAGACCTTCACTGACTCTGCCTGGCTCGTGGTGTCCGTTTAATTCGTACAGATTCCAAGATGCTGTGGTCGTCGGAGATCAAATTACGAAGGTGCTGTATGTTCATCAGGGCGGATCCATTAGAGATGGAACGGATCTCTGTGTGTGGGAGGAGAATGAAGGCATCCGCCGTATCAAGGGATTGGAAGTTTGCGCCGTTCGATTTTTACCTTACACTGACCAGCAGGTGGTTGCTGGTATCTTCCAACGTGATAGGATGAAGCCACCGAGTCACATTGAGACCTTTGGTGTGATGGACGTGGCCACTGGAGCCTTCCTCGCTGAAGCGAACTCGGACCGTGACGATTTTCTCTTCAACTACCCCGGTGGCAAAGTCATGTCTCTGAGTATCGATCGTGGTAGCTGGAAAGCGGTTATGATCGGTTATGACCAGAAGTGTGGCTATGAAACGGTAGATTTCCCGAGTCGGTACGTATGGGAGGTTGGGTATGGTACTCCGGCCCGTGAGGCTGACTCCCAATAAGGTAATGCTGTTGAGCGAGTACATCTTAATTAATCGATTTCAATCATTTAAGCGTCAGTGTTGTGTTCTCGAGTTTCAGTCCATTGACCGACAGGAATGAATGCCTCATTGAGATCAATTCATTTGGTTGGGGTGGCTATGCCACTACAATATATACCTCACTGAGATCAATTCATCTGGTTGGGGCGGCTATGCCACTCCAATATATGCCTCACTGAGATCAATTCATCTGGTTGGGGCGGCTATGCCACTCCAATATATGCCTCACTGAGATCAATTCTTCTGGTTGGGGCGGCTATGCCACTCCAATATATGCCTCACTGAGATCAATTCATCTGGTTGGGGCGGCTATGCCACTCCAATATATGCCTCACTGAGATCAATTCTTCTGGTTGGGGCGGCTATGCCACTCCAATATATGCCTCACTGAGATCAATTCTTCTGGTTGGGGCGGCTATGCCACTCCAATATATGCCTCACTGAGATCAATTCATCTGGTTGGGGCGGCTATGCCACTCCAATATATGCCTCACTGAGATCAATTCTTATGAATTCAGCTATGCCACATGACAGGCTACGATTATTCCCATAATCTTGGTATCGTCGTGGGCCGGAATATTTTCTACTTACCTCTTTTACGGTAGATTTCCCGAGGCGGTAGATGAGGAAGGTTGGGTATGGGGTTCCGATGCATGAGGTCCGACCTCAGAGGTATTCCCAATGTGTTGAGAATCTCAACTTGAGACTAAACAAAGTAACTCTTAACTTATGATCAATATAATTATCATGAAGCATACGAAGGCACGCGTAGTAGAAATGTATGAGCTAGGACAGCCCCTTGTGTCCAGCATTTCCTAGCACTGATAACTGATCAAGTCCTAACTGATCAAGTCACGGGAACAGATGTAGTCTGTCAGTCAGATTATGTGACGTCTGCGACATTTCAGCTGACGACTTAGTCCGTCCCGCTAGATAGGAATGATTTTTCATCTGGTTACTGGCTCCAGTTGGATAATACAACCCCTCGATAACCCCTTACGAATCTTTGAACTTGCAGACCTTCAGCACTCTGACTCGATTGCAAATTCTACTCAGTTTCAGATATTGAGTGCTTTCCGCTCGGTGTTTGAGCTATAGACGTTAGCTGAACCAGAATGGACAGGTTTCATGCAAAGCATCCATCAACTAGTGCAGAATCGCTCACCGAATCTCACCGAAAGATATACCGACGAAACTTACTCACGACAAGGGTGCCCTCAACCGTCAGTATCTGTGCATACGATGGGCGGATTTCTCTCCCGATAAAGTGACCACATCAAAAGCACAAGGCGCTGTACTCAGCCCATTTGATATTGGCTACCAAACAAGGGAAAACCCCACTCTCGTTAGCTCGGTGCTAGGAGGATCACCCCGAAAGGTCAGGCTACCAAATCCCCCCCCAGTAAATTTCAGCACTACACCTGATCCATGGAAAATGACACATTCCTCATGCTCACACGAGCTACACGGGACTAATCATGAATGGAGGCTTTCTAAGCTCGAAAATGTTTGATGTTGCTGAGATAATCGCATTAATAATCAGGAGTGCCGGCACCACATACACTTGGGGGGCAAGGCTGGTCTCCACTAAAGCAAGTAGGAGTACCCAACCACCACTTGCAGTAGGACACCTCATCCTCGGCAAGGTCGGGGTTTTGCTTGACGCAGTACGTATCACAAGTGGAGCTTTCCACGGAGTGGGTATCGTCCGGGATACAAACAGAAGTATCGCATGATTGGTCACCACCATGGCAGACGGGCACAGACAGCCACGACTTACAATACGACTTGCCACTGTTCAAGCCGATACAGTAGTTATCACAGTAAGGCATGTCACCTTCATCATCTACACTATCGCCCTCAGCGGCAGGTATTGTGGTAGTTGTCTCGGCTGAATTGGCCGCATCAGTTGTGCCCACGACCGCCTCAGTAGTCTCGACAGACTCGACAGTCGTAGTGCCACTGACGGACTCCTCAGTCGTAGTACCACTGACGGCCCCCTCAGTCGTAGTGCCACTGACGGCCTCCTCAGTCGTCGTAGTACCACTGACGGCCCCCTCAGTCGTAGTGCCACTGACGGCCTCCTCAGTCGTCGTAGTGCCACTGACGGCCTCCTCAGTCGTAGTACCAATGACGGACTCCTCAGTCGTCGTAGTCCCACTGACGGCCTCCTCAGTCGTCGTAGTGCCACTGACGGCCTCCTCAGTCGTCGTAGTGCCACTGACGGACTCCTCAGTCGTCGTAGTGCCACTGACGGCCTCCTCAGTCGTAGTGCCACTGACGGCCTCCTCAGTCGTAGTGCCACTGACGGCCTCCTCAGTCGTAGTGCCACTGACGGCCTCCTCAGCCGTTGTAGTGCCACTGACGGCCTCCTCAGTCGTAGTTCCACTGACGGCCTCCTCAGTCGTCGTAGTGCCACTGACGGCCTCCTCAGTCGTGGTACCACTGACGGCCTCCTCAGTCGTCGTTGTGCCACTGACGGCCTCCTCAGTCGTCGTAGTACCACTGACAGCCTCCTCAGTCGTAGTGCCACTGACGGCCTCCTCAGCCGTTGTGGGTGTGATGGCCTGCGTTGTTTGGCCGTTGATGACTTCCTGAGTAGTTGTCTCCGCCACCGTTACTTCAGCGGTGGTACTCGAAGGTGCGATCGGAGCCGTAGGAGCGACAGTAGTAGTTGGGCTACTTGGCGGCAGGGTCCCAATAGACCAGTTCTCACATGCACAGGGCGTCAATGAGGGACCCTCAGGAGACGAGCAAACACCATTTGGGTGATCGCAGATAGCACTGCTGTAGCCAGTGAACATTTGACAGATGAAGTCGCCAAGGGTGCAACCGTCGCGCTCAGCTGAAGCACTAATGCCGACTGCCAGAGTGATTAAGATGCCGAACATGCGTATAGATATAGAAGAGACTGGAGACGAACAAGAGTCGAAAAAGGACGATAAATTCGAACCCCAGCTGTCACTGCATCATAGCCTAATCTCAATCTGAGGAAAGAGTAAAATTGCATATGAGCATTGACCAATTCTACGCATCACTGGTGGTCCAAAATCACACGTGCCTTTCGCTACGGCAAGCTTTAATGCACTGCTTATGAATGGCGGATCTATTAAACTACCAACCCAGGAAGGTGAATTGGTTGGGTCGTGATCGGTATCCGATCCGACCATCACAGAGTATCCAAAACGGTCGGGGCTGTGCGGTTCGTTTCGGATATGCGTTAGTTGGTGTGTTGCCACTTCTGAACTTATTCACTTTTGCGTGGGTAAACGTGGCCATGAACTATGTACAACTCATTCTATAGGATAGTTACAATTGAACAGGTCCACAGTATGTACAGAACGACTATAATCGCGCGACAGCATTCAGTTCTGTAGAAAATTTTCTACTTGAATTCGTACAAAAGTGGCTGAATCGTAACTGGTAAATAGCACCGGCTTAATCGACAGCTTGTCCGTACTTTTATTTGGCAGGTTAGAGGTGATGAACGATTCACCCAAGACTCCTATAATCTACCATACCAAACGTGTATAGCTTGGTTTCCACTCAAAAATCGACAACTTACTCCAGCGGGTTGGCTTCCGATAGGTTCATTGTAGATTCGTTACGCACAAGAGCCCAACTCACGATAACTCCAATGGGAACTACTTTAGTCCTAAGAGAAAATTTTTGAACGTCTTGAGCTCATAATGTGGGCCGCTAAGTACTCAGAATACTTTCGGGGCTCAACGATGCGGGTTGCAATGTTATCAGTGGAGTTCGCATCACTCAAGCTGGGCCGCATAGTAATCAAGACAGCAGAATGAACGCACGGGTTGGTCGTTCGTAATTGGTCTTTAACCCAAGGCGCCTCAAAGTATGCACTGAAAGAATGTCGAGGTTCACCGAATTTCTCAAGGCGATTACTTAAAGATTTTTAGGAGCAAATTACCACCGAATTCTAGCCCGGAAAGTGCACGATCGATGGTGGATTGAACTGAATTAAGACAGCCTACGTGTGTTAATCGCTCGTTCCGTGAGCGCTTCCAGGATCGAGTTCCACGTGGGAGTGCTCTTGAAGCTCAGGAGAGGTCTATCAAACACGTCGACTATCGGGGTGTTCAGTAAAGCTCGAGGAGATCAGTCCTGGGACAGATCTCGAGGATTGATCTACAAGATCCATCCTAGAAGGGTATTCAGTGAATCCGATCCTGAATTTTTTAGTGATCGATCCCAGACTGGATCAGTCTCAGGACTGGTTTACTGGACTGCTATTAGCTTTGATCGATCCTGAGTTTGAGCGTAAGTTTGCTGAACACATCGAATAACTCAAGTAACTTAGCGCGCCCAAGGACAACCACGCGCCGATATATGCCCTACTGAGGTTAATTTTCCAAGTGGGGCAGCTATGCCATCCCAATATAAGCTTAACTTAGGGTCAATTTACTTGCGTGGGGCGGCTATGCCACTCCAATATATGCCTGATTGAGATCAATTTATCCCGGTGGGGCGGCTATGCCATTCCAGTACATGCCTTACTGAGATCAATTTTTTGCCTTACCGTTTAGAGAAATAGACTTCATTACGGAATATCTTGTGGTGGCATAGTCGCCCCGCTCAGAGAATTGACTACACAAAGAAATATTTTGGTGTGGAATAGCCGCCCCGTTTAGAGAAATTGATTTCATTACAGAATATCTTGTGGTGGCAAAATCGCCCTCTCAGAGAATTGAATACACCAAGGAATATGTCGGTGTGGAATAGCCGCCCCGTTCAGAGAAATTAATTACATTACGTGGTGTCCGTGTGATCCGTACAGATTCCAGGATGCTGTGGTCGTCGGAGACCAGGTTACGAAGGTACTGTATGTTCAATGAACAATGAAGGATGAGTCCATCAGAGATGGAACGGATCTCTGTGTGTGGGAGGAGAATGAAGACATCCGATGTATCAAGGGATTGAAGTTTGTGCCGTTCGATTTTTACCTTACACCGATCAACAGGTGGTGGCTGGTATCTTCTGACGTGATAGGATGAAACCACCGAGTCACATTGAGACCTTCGGTGTGATGGACGTGGCCACTGGAGCCTTCCTCGCTGAAGCGAACTCTGATCGATACGATTTTCTCTTCAACTACCCCGGTGGCAAAGTCATGTTTCTGATTATCGATCGTGGTAGCTGGAAAGCGGTTGTGATCGGTTATGACCAGGAGTGTGGCTATGAAACGGTAGATTTCCCGAGTCGGTACGTATGGGAGGTTGGGTATGGTACTCCGGCCCATGAGGCTGACTCCCAGTAAAATAGTGCTGCTGAGTACATCTTAATTAATCGATTTCAATCATTTAAACGTCAGTGTTGCGTTCTCGAGTTTCAGTCCATTGACCGACAGGAATGAATGCCTCACTGAGATCAATTCATTTGGTTCTGGCGGTAGTAGAAATGTATAAGCTAGGACAGCCCCTTGTGTCCAGCATTTCCTAACACTGATAACTGATTAAATCCTAACTGATCAAGTCACGGGAACGGATGTCGTCTGTCAGTCAGATTATGTGACGCCTGCGACATTTCAGCTGACGACTTAGTCCGTCCCGCTAGATAGGAATGATTTTTCATCTGGTTATTGGCTCCAGTTGGATAATACAACCCCTCGATAACCCCTTACGAATCTTTGAACTTGCAGACCTTCAGCACTCTGACTCGATTGCAAATTCTACTCAGTTTCACATGTTGAGTGCTTACCGCTCGGAGTTTGAGCTATAGACTTTAGCTGAACCAGAATGGACAGGTTTCATGCAAAGCATCCATCAACTAGTGCAGAATCGCTCACCGAATCTCACCGAAAGATATACCGACGAAACTTACTCACGACAAGGGTGCCCTCAACCGTCAGTATCTGTGCATATGATAGGCGGATTTCTCTCCCGATAAAGTGACCACATCAAAAGCACAAGGCGCTGTACTCAGCCCATTTGATATTGGCTACCAAACAAGGGAAAACCCCACTCTCGTTAGCTCGGTGCTAGGAGGATCACCCCGAAAGGTCAGGCTACCAAATCCCCCCCCCCAGTAAATTTCAGCACTACACCTGATCCATGGAAAATGACACATTCCTCATGCTTACGCAAGCTACACGGGACTAATCATGAATGGAGGCTTTCTAAGCTCGAAAATGTTTGATGTTGCTGAGATAATCGCATTAATAATCAGGAGTGCCGGCACCACATACACTTGGGGGGCAAGGCTGGTCTCCACTAAAGCAAGTAGGAGTACCCAACCACCACTTGCAGTAGGACACCTCATCCTCGGCAAGGTCGGGGTTTTGCTTGACGCAGTACGTATCACAAGTGGAGCTTTCCACGGAGTGGGTATCGTCCGGGATACAAACAGAAGTATCACATGATTGGTCACCACCATGGCAGACGGGCACAGACAGCCACGACTTGCAATACGACTTGCCACTATTCAAGCCGATACAGTAGTTATCACAGTAAGGCATGTCACCTTCATCATCTACACTATCGCCCTCAGCGGCAGGTATTGTGGTAGTTGTCTCGGCTGAATTGGCCGCTTCAGTTGTGCCAACGACCGCCTCAGTAGTCTCGACAAACTCGACAGTCGTAGTGCCACTGACGGCCTCCTCAGTCGTCGTAGTGCCACTGACGGCCTCCTCAGTCGTAGTACCACTGACGGGCTCCTCAGTCGTCGTAGTGCCACTGACGGCCTCCTCAGTCGTCGTAGTGCCACTGACGGCCTCCTTAGTCGTAGTGCCACTGACGGCCTCCTCAGTCGTACTGCCACTGACGGCCTCCTCAGTCGTCGTAGTGCCACTGACGGCCTCCTCAGTCGTCGTAGTGCCACTGACGGCCTCCTCGGCCGTAGTCGCAAAGACAGCCTCCTCAGTCGTTGTGGGTGTGATGGCCTGCGTCGCTTGGCCAGTGATGACTTCCTGAAAAGTTGCCTCCGCCACCGTTACGTCAGCGGTGGTACTCGAAGGTGCGATCGGAGTCGTAGGAGCGATAGTAGTAGGTGGGCTAACTGACGGCAGCGTCCCAATAGACCAGTTCTCACATGCACAGGGCGTCAATGAGGGACCCTCAGGAGACGAGCAAACACCATTCGGATGATCGCAGATAGCACTGCTGTAGCCAGTGAACATTTGACAGATGAAGTCGCCAAGGGTGCAACCGTCGCGCTCAGCTGAAGCACTAATGCCGACTGCCAGAGTGATTAAGATGCCGAACATGCGTATTGATATAGAAGAGACTGAAGGAGCACAGGAGTCGAAAAAGGACGATAAATTCGAACCCCAGCTGTCACTGCATGGTAGCCTCATATCTATCTGAAGAAAGAGTAAATTGCATATGAGCATTGACCACTTCAACACATCACTGGTGGTCCAAAATCACACGTACCTTCCGCTACGGCAAGCTATAGTGAAGTGCTTATGAATGGCGGATACACCAGCTGGTGCTGGACGTCGCTTGAATAATCGCATTAATAATCAGGAGTGCCGGCACCACATACACTTGGGGGGCAAGGCTGGTCTCCACTAAAGCAAGTAGGAGTACCCAACCACCACTTGCAGTAGGACACCTCATCCTCGGCAAGGTCGGGGTTTTGCTTGACGCAGTACGTATCACAAGTGGAGCTTTCCACGGAGTGGGTATCGTCCGGGATACAAACAGAAGTATCGCATGATTGGTCACCACCATGGCAGACGGGCACAGACAGCCACGACTTGCAATACGACTTGCCACTATTCAAGCCGATACAGTAGTTATCACAGTAAGGCATGTCACCTTCATCATCTACACTATCGCCCTCAGCGGCAGGTAGTGTGGTAGTTGTCTCGGCTGAATTGGCCGCTTCAGTTGTGCCAACGACCGCCTCAGTAGTCTCGACAAACTCGACAGTCGTAGTGCCACTGACAGGCTCCTCAGTCGTCGTAGTGACACTGGCGGCCTCCTCAGTCGTCGTAGTGTCACTGACGGCCTCCTCGGTCGTCGGAGTATCAACGACGGCCTCCTCAGTCGTTGTAGTACCACTGACGGCCTCCTCAGTCGTAGTGCCACTGGGGGCCTCCTCAGTCGTTGTAGTACCACTGACGGCCTCCTCAGTCGTAGTGCCACTGGGGGCCTCCTCAGTCGTTGTAGTACCACTGACGGCCTCCTCAGTCGTAGTGTCACTGACGGCCTCCTCAGTCGTAGTAGTAGCACTGACGGCCTCCTCAGTCGTAGTAGTAGCACTGACGGCCTCCTCAGTCGTAGTAGTAGCACTGACGGCCGCCTCAGTCGTAGTGCCACTGGGGGCCTCCTCAGTCGTTGTAGTACCACTGACGGCCTCCTCAGTCGTAGTGCCACTGACGGCCTCCTCAGTCGTAGTGCCACTGACGGCCTCCTCAGTCGTAGTAGTAGCACTGACGGCCTCCTCAGTCGTCGTAGTATCAGTGGCAACCTCTCCAGTCGTAGCGACCGCAACGGTGGTAGGGGCCGGTACGCTCGTTGTCGTGGGGGCGGCTGTCGTAGACGAATCAATCGGCGGAACTGTCGTCGACGTTGATGTTACAGTAGACCAGTTCTCACATGCACAGGGCACCATTGATGGACCATCGTGAGATAGGCAGACCCCATTCGGATGGTCGCAGATCGACCCGCTATAGCCAGTAAACCATCGACAGGCTATATCGCCAAAATAACAGCCATCGCGAGCTATCGAGGATAAGACGCAGGAACCTAGAAGAACGAGAGTGCCGAGAGCCATAGTTGGTTTACGAACTAAGCAACCCAGGAAGGTCAATTGTCTTGCTCGTAATCGATATCCGATCCGACCATCACAGAGTATCCAAAACGGTTGGGGCTGTGCGGTTCGTTTCGGATATGCGATAGTTGGTGTGTTGCCACTTCTGAGCAAACACACTTTTGAGTGGGTAGACGTGGCTGTGACAATTTTTTGACTGGCTTGCGCTCATGATGTGGGCGGCTGAGTACTCAGAGTATTTTCGGGGCTCAACGATGCGGTTGAAATGTCATCATTGGAGTTCGCATCACTCAAGCTGGGTCGCATAGTAAGCAAGATAGCGGACGCAACGCGCATGTTCATTATTGCTCACTTGATTCAAGGCGCCTCAAGGTATATACTGGAGCTGTGTTAAAGCAACTGTTAGAGGAGCGTTAAGCTGTCTTCAGTCGTACCCTAAGAATCAAACAGCATGACGGCTTGGTCATGATTCAGCTATAATGGTTGATACACTTCTTGAGATCTATGAGAACTCTCATATTGTCACCAACATGCGTGCTTGACCATGTACATGTGTAGTGTTCATGTGTCTCCAGTATAGAGTATATGCTAGAGTATACATTTCTTAAAGTCTATTTGGCCACGTGGTTAACTTGTGAACTTATAACCAAAGGGTATCGAGATCCACTCCTGGGTCCGATTATTGCACTAAACTATGCCATTGATCGACTAAGCTGAATCTTAACTGTCCAATCCACTAATATATTGTTAATCCACTAGTCTAGGTTTCCGTCTACTTTCCTTATGTTCTCCCCAGCATCGCGTTCAACTACACCTTTTCCCAGTCAAGTTTGACGAGTAAACACACAAGTTTGACAGCGTTGCACTCAAGCATACCAGCATGCTACACATGTTTGACACTTTCTCAGATGTTACATGATGTAACTTACATCCAAGTTTGCCACAGTGACATTCAAGCTTGCCACAGTTACATTCAAGCTTGCCACAGTGACATTCAAGCTTGCCACAGTTACATTCAAGCTTGCCACAGTGACATTCAAGTTTGCCACAGCGACAATGTCGCTACGACATTCAAGTTTGACACCATCAAAAGCAGGATTGACACAATCAAAAATGCTTCATCCAACTCTGACAATATACGCTCAAGTTTGGCCGGTATGAATGAGCATGCACAATGCTCAACATGCACGCCGACGAGGAGTTCACCTCAATCGTTGAAAGTCAATGAGTTAACTCTGTGGTTAACTGTGTCATCATATGATAGGACGAGATCGGCTGTGTGCGTGCGTGCAAGGGCTAACCTTGTCGAGAATGCGCGTCATAGTGCATCATGTCGATGGTGCGCACGTATGAGGGGGTCGCCGAATCGCTCCGCACGTTACACACGCGTGTTGCCATGTGTAGTAAAAACGATTATAGTCGGGCGAAAAAATCCGTTTCTGTGAAAAACGTTTCATTTCGTGAACGGAAACGGAAATATGAGGGCGCGTAAACAAGTGGCGCGCAAGACGGTGTCAGTGGAATTTCCATCATCGTGCTTCGACTCCTGACGGTGTTTTCCCATAAGATTGCCGAATCACTATGATGAACCGCTATGCGATCATCTAGGTTACGTTGGAGGAATATATGATCGCTTTCCTCAGCTGAACTCAGGAGTTTCCTCACTAATTTGGTGTACGAAAACCAATGAGGATTTCCATATTGTCTCCAACACGCGTTATTACTGGAGTTTTAGCTGGTTTACGTGAAGTGGCGTCGTAAAACTCGGTGAAAAACGCGATATTCGCGGTGATATGCAGTAGTCGTGAAATACGTTTTTCATATCACTAGGGCCGCCCGTGAAACTTCATTATAATATCAGTTCTCATCGAATTATGATCTGTCCAGTATTGATAGTAGCAATCGGTGTCGCTCTAGCTGGGCAATCCTCGAGCACAAAGAGACAATATGAGAGCACCTTGATACCCACTGATGAGGAAGATGACCGACTTGCATCCTTACAAAATCGAGGAGTACGATCCGTGTTGAAATTCATGTTCGCTTTCATCAGCCGAACTTAATAGTTTTCACCACATATTATAGCGGTATACATACGAGTCCGGCTAGTGATGTACAGAACTCATTGAAATTTCGTCTTTTTTTGCAAAGTGGCGTAATTCTCTGCGAAAAAAAGGCAATGTGGCAGTCGCGAAAACTGTTTTTCATATCACGGGTGAAACTCCAATGAGAATTTTCCAAAATTTCCTCACATTTTCCATATTGTCACCAACAAATGTTCTTGACTATGTGCATATTTTCCAACATTGAGTAGGATGAATATTATATTGGAGTATCTTCACCCTAGTGATATAAAAACACTAGTGAAAAATATATTTCACGACTACTGCATATCACCGCGAATATCGCGTTTTTCACCGAGTTTTACGCCACTCCACGTGAGACGGGTGAATATTAATGACATGGCAATAAGCGGATTATAATGTATACGTTTTTATGGTATTATCCTTATTAAATATAATATACACTATTTTAGTGTGTTATGTAACTTTGAAAAGAATACGCGAGTTCGTCAAAAAACTGTCGCGATTTTAATGAACTGTTTGTTCTTGGCTGTCTCTTTCATCAGAAGCGTCATTTTCTGGTCAAAATTTCAGAAATTTTTTCACCAAAATTTCATGAAATTTTTTTATCATTATTTTGTCATTTTCTTTCAGATTGCTTATCCAATTTCAGATATACATTTTAGCAGCAACTCCCGGGTGTCTGATTATGCAGACTGAACCGCTCGAGCCTATGCAGTGCACGATTTCACTCAGTCCCGAAGGTCGCATCACCAGCATGACGCTGTGCGATACAAAGGAGAATCAGTTGTATCTCTAGTGAGTCAGAAGCGTTTTTACGCGTTGAAAAACGTTCTCATTTTACTCAGTGAAAATCGTTCGTCCGAATTTGAGATTTGGGTGAAAGATCACAAATTTCACGCAGATCATGCGACTTGGAATATCCTGAAACACGAGGGTCTACTACCATTTGAACATCTCTCACGAAAAACACTTGATATTTTGGAACTTCATGCTCCTGCTCACAATGCTCAAGATTGCCTTGATATAGTGCAAGCTTTGATGCAAGATCCCCCACCGAAATATAATTTTTCGGAAAAGCATTTTAAATATGCGGGTGACAGTATGAATTGGATCGTTGAATTTTACAGAAAAAAAGCGGAAAAAATACAAGAGAAAATGACGGCGTTGGGATTGCTCCAAAAAGAAGAGGATAAGAAGGCACTGGAGCGCGACCCGGATTCCTACTGCTCTTATACAGTGGGAGTTTAATGAGAAACGGATTGTTCATGAGTGTGATTGTGTTGTTCATGTTCGTGTTGATAAGGGGCATGCTTTGAGTTGCATCTGTTTGCGTACGTCATTGAGGAAGTTTATATAATGAAGTTTCGCCCTAGTGATATGAAAAAAATATATTTCACGACTAGTCCATATCACCGCGAACATCGCGTTTATCACAGAGTATCACGCCACTTCACATGAAACTCAGATGAATCTGGTTATGGCCTTGCGAGGTGAATGCCAACGTGATCATGATGATTATTATTATAATAATCATCAAAATCATGATGATGACGATGAGTTATGCATCTTCTCATACGACGTATGTGCCCCTTATATATTCTCAACCGAGACGCCGTACAAGACACAGAGATCGTCTCCTTAATTGTTTCACTCGAACTCTCTGCCGTGTAACACACTATCTACCGGCTCATACTGCGGGCTCAGACAGCAGTGACTGAGCCTGCAGCTATACCTCTATGCTGGCTATTACTCGCCTGCTCGAAGGGGTGCTGCGCAGCAAGAAGAAGAGTTGTTTCACTATTGCGTCGGTGTGCTAGTTGGCCACTGGGTAAAAATCTCAATAACATGGGCGACACCAACGTGTCAATTTGATATGCAAATTTATGTTTTTCAAAAAGTTGTCGCTATCATCACAGTTCCAAACGGGTACTCTCATCACAACATATGAGCTTCAGATTGAAACGGTCCTTAATTACGAGCAATACATGGTACAACAATCACGTTCTTCGGCCGTAAGGCTGCGGCCATCGACTTCGTCTCTTGATTCCTTCACTCCTCTTGACCTTCATCCCTCAGCGAGTGTTTAGAACGGCTCGATTCTGCCCCAGCTGCTGTTGCTGCTTTTTCTTTTCCTTTTTTTTCTTTTTTTTTATTTTTCCTTTTTTCGCATCAACATGCAAATAATAAAGGGCGGAGCGAACAAATACTGGGAACCTATATACAGCTGCACCAGCCCGAGAATGTGTGGCAGCTACAGCAAACCCCCGCGAGCATCTAGATGCTGCATGAGGGCCAAAAACAGCCGATTGAAGGCTATCACGCCATATGTTCATACTATGAACTCCATAGCCATTTATATAGTCTCAAATTTACTCTCATTAACCTCAGGAAATAACGCACATTTGCATATCAAATTGGCATGCGCTTGTGAGGGTCTAGGGAGTGCGCTTTCTCTACCAGTATGCAGCAGCCACATACAGCGCTACTCAGAGCATGGTTACTTCAAGGTTGCTATTTGTCACGTTTCCCTTTCTCTCCTCTGTCTCGCGTTAGCCCTCTTCCCCATCGCAACTGTTGATGTCCGATGCCTCCTGTCGTTCCCTGGTGCCAACACGACCCGACATCAGCTGGAGAGATGCGACCCAGACGCACACTGAGGCCTTGAGCCAAGACGGCTACTGATCAAGCTCATGATCTATAGTAGGAAATGTATCCTATGCTCATCGTACGCAAGCACAAGGAGAATGTCTGTACGCATGTGCAAAACGCTCTCTGCAAGTGTTGAGGTTCGCCCGCCCTGTTATAGCTGTACCTTATCGATTGCGCTATTTGGTGCAAGGAACAACCATAGTTATTATTCAACCTATTGCGTTCCATATGGCTAGTACCCTAACACTAACAGCCTCACTTCAGCGTTTATTAGTCTTGCGTGTTACGTGTGATCAGACAGTGTTTAATAGACTAGACTCAAACTCAATACCCATTCTGCTCCTATTAATCTCATGTAAATATCTGCCTCAAAATCTTCGAATAAACTCACGATCTTCTCGTGAAAACTAATGTAACAACTCCTTCAATGTGAATAGCGCACGCCCAGCTGATCGATTTCACTCTTCTCTTGTCTACATAATTGTCAATAGCCGATCTAAACAGTAGCGCAACCATTTTCGATCAGTAATCGATTGACTCTCCACCTTCAATGCAATTCTTAGAAGGTAAATAGCGCACGCCCGATTGATCGATTTCAATCTTCTTTTGCTTTTCTAACGTCTAACGTGCACAGCGGGCATCTACATGATTGTCGTAGCCAATCTGAAGAGTAGCGGAATGATCTTTGATTAGCAATCGATCGAATGCTCACCGTCAATACAATCCTTATGAAATATATGTTTACACGGGAGTAACCGACAAGTGTCCGATCGCTCCAATGCACTTAAACATACTGCGCACCTGAACGCAATCACGAACGATTATACTTGCGTAAAAAATTCCGCATCAACATTCAAGTAGCTCAGAGCACTTAGTTGTTTCAGCTCAGCTCAAAAGGTTTTTCTCTCTCTCTCTGGAAGTGTTTAGAAACCAACAAGAATTTCCCAAAATTTTCACATTGTCACAAACACGTGTAGTTGACCGTGCGCATATCTTCTAACAGCCCTGTAAACGATGGAGTTTCACCCGTTTTGCATGAAGTGGCGTAAAACTCCGTATTCACATTACGCAGTAGTCGTGACATATGTTTTCTACTACTGTTTTTCATATCACTAGGGTCAAGAAACTCCAATATCTATATTTAGTTGAATTGAAGATTAGAAAAAAAAATTGTCATATACCAACTTGTGGTGATCTCAGCTGAGATCTTCTAGGTTCGTATCCTCATTTTGTGCTATTTCACTTCCATTCATATCCTTAGCTAATTGCGGAGCGAGCGAAGCGAGCGGAGCATATTCTCTCACTTTACTAACACTCTGTGCGTGCGTGCGTGCGTGCGTGCGTACAAATTATCCAGCTCGATCTAGTGAGGTTATGATCACATGCTATACACCATTCGATAGCTCTCGCTCTGGGGATACTAGCAAAAATACGAAATTAGGGTTCCGCCCGGACTATGTAGATTTCCGTGCAAAAAACGTATTTTTGCAGAAAAACGCCAGGCATGGGAATCGAACCCGGATGCCGAGCTCCGCCCCTTCTCCGAGAAGGCCTAGTAGCACAAGCTGCGCTAGTCGTTGATGAAGTAAGAGGTGTTATAAGATTAGATTCCACTTATTTCTTACGGGTTTGGTTCATCAACTTACGCGGATTCCTCCTCCGTGTTAGACCAGGAATCATACAGTCCAACAGGCAACTTGAGAAGGACACCAGTCGGCGTGGGAGAAGGATGGTCGCCACTCCTGAGATTTCCAAATACGCAATTTACTTTTTGGAGTTTCACGACTAGCCGTTTTACGTGAAGTGGCAACATGCAGTGAATTGAAAAAACATTTCACCGTAAAAATCACCCAATTTCACGTACGCGTTATTCACTTCCGCAAAGTGAAATACGAAATATGTTTTTCATCAACATATAAACATGCGGTTAACAATGTTTACTTAACTTGCTAGCGAATTGAGCAACACATGTGGTTGACCATGCGCATACTTTTCGAAAATATACAGAAACCAATACATGAAAAGATAAGTAATACAGAAAATTCAGGAAAGTGTACCAAAATTTCCTCAAAATTTCCATATTATCATTTAACACGAGTATACTTGTCGAAAAAACACAGAAATATACAGAAACCAATACATGACAAAAAATAAGAAACATAGAAAATTCAGGAAAGCGCACGGAAATTTCCTCAAAATTTCCATATTGTCACCAACACATGTGCATATTCCCTCCCGAAGACTCACGCAACGCGTAGTCGTCTCCTATGCAGATGAATTCCTCCATCATCGTGTAGTAAACCCAAACGGAAATACCTGCCAGGAAACTATACAGTGGAGTTTCACCCTAGTGATATTAAAAACATATTTCACATTTCACTTTGCGAAAAATGCATGTGAGTAGTGAATAACGCGTAAAACTTGTGGTGTGAGCTTTTTTTCATATTATATGAAAAACATGAATATATGTATTTTCATTATATGTAATAAAGTTTCACCCGTTTTACGTGAAGTGGCGTCGTAAAGGTCCGTGAAAAACGCGATGTTCGCGGTGATATGCAGTAGTCGTGAAATATATTTTTCACATCACCAGGGTTAAGAAATCACTATTAAAAGTTTGAGCGCAAAAGAAATCACAATTCTGTAGCATCACAGAGATTCTCGTAGACGCTCACATGTTAATATTTTCCGAAAAACGAAATAAATTTTCCGAAACCAATACATGAAAAAATAAGAAAACTAGAAAATTTAGGAAATTTAGCAAGTGTATAAAATTTCTCAAAATTTTTTCAGATGTGACACCAACACATGTAGTTGACCATGTGCACATTTTTTCCGGAAAATAGAAAAATTTACAGAAACCAATACATGAGAAGATGAGAAAAACAAAGAAAATTTAGAAAAAAATGTACAAAAATTTCCCAAAATTTTCTCTCAATTTTCATATTGTCACCAACACATGTGTATATTTTTTTCCGAAAAATTGACACGAAAAGATCAGAAATACATAAAATTTCCCGAAAATTTCATATTTTCCTTACCCGACAAGAACCAGAATTCTCGTCACTGCTTGCAGTATCACCGCCAACATGAAATTTCTCGCAACAGATGAGCTTTCTAGTGATAGCGTCAGAATAATTCCGATAACATACCTGAACGAAAACAGGGGGAAAA